TTTCTTCTTACCTCCAACTGATCATAGCCACAAGCAGTGGGGTGGTGACAGTAGCAGTCAGGTACCTCCAGTCCCTCACAAAATAGGCCAGAACAGGGAGCAAAGCAGTATTAACACTCCAGTCCAGGCTTATTAAAACACCCACTCTGGTTCGATGCCTGATGTCCACCCATTCAATACCTGTGTGGTGCAATTATCATTTTATTTTTTCATTAGTGGTAATAATCGATTATTGTTTCTTTTAAAAAAAATTTTTTTATTCTATCTCACAAGTAAAATACAGTGTATTCAGTGTACATCTAAGCATCTAATAATATAATGATGTTGTACACGTGCAGTGCCACTTTAAAACATATTTCCTTGTGTGTTCAAGTTTTGCAACAGCAAGGGGAGTGAAGCATTTAGTAAGTAATTTCTCGGTCAGAAATCATTTCATTCAAGGTTTTTAAATAACAACAATTTAAAGTTTTAAGTCTGATGTATGTTCTATAAAAATCTTGCATATGAAGCTGAATTAATTAGTTAGTTTTCAGAGAACTGCACATATGATAAAAGACAACTCACTGAGAACTATGCTGATTATACTTATTCCAGAAATTCCAAGTCCAGTAAAAAACCTCATGGCAGCAAACATGGGAAAATTGTATGAGAAAGCACTTGCAAATCCAAAGACGGAGGTTATCATGTAGGACAACAGAAGCATTTTTTTCCGGCCAAATCTGTGAAACAACATAATTACAGGTAGGTCTAAAGCGCAGATGAATCAAAGAAAAAGAAAAGAACTGAAGAGTATATTGTTGTGGGTGTAAATTAAAAGCATAGTCATGCTGTTCACTGTGTGGGTTAAAGTTTTATAATGTTTTTCAAGTATTAACATGTCAAATTGGAACAAGATTTACACCTGTCACTAAGATAACCAAATACTGCAGCTCCAATCATGACCCCAATGAAGAAAATAGTGGCCGTGGCTTTGTTCACTGTTTTCTTATCACAAACCAGGTCCCACTAAGAGGAAAACACAAACAAAAAAGTGAAAAATAAAACTGGTGATGTAGAAGTGGTAGTAATTTCATTCTTTGTACAAAGAGAATGATGGAATTCTCACCTCTGTGGCCAGAGTAGACTTGAAGGTGGTTGTGTCGAACATCCATCCATTCTGACACGGCACTGTTGGAAGGTCAGTTAAGTTGGAAAAGTTGAACAGCAGATGATACTGCGGCTCTGCAAACATTTGACAGGAGTTCGGAGTCCCATCCTGCTGGACAGGAACACTAACAACCAGCCTGTCCTCCAGAGATAGATTCCTAAAAAGACCTCCATCATCCAGAGAGCTGATGTTGCAGTGGTGAGGGGGAATAGCTGCAATGAAATTATTCAACAGGAAGTGTAATGGCAAAGTCATACGAGGAATTACCATCAAGATGAACATCCTTTTTTGGAATCTGCCAAAGCCATTGATCTCTGCCATCACATTGTCAAACTTCATCTTGGAAATATACGATGCAACATTTGAGTGACAAAAAATATCACAGAGCACACGAGATGTTTGTTGGACAGTGAGCCACAAGCCTTTTTGTTTTTCCAATAGATGCTGTCGGTTAATGGTCAGCTACTGTGTGACACTGTGTGAATGTGTAGTACTCCGACAAGCAACATGTTGTTCTTAAATGTTGTTTTAAAATAAATCATTGACAAAGACTCCCTAATGCCAAAGCTACATGGCTGCTGTCACTGCAATGTCTCGAAGCACGGGCCAATGTAACATTTACTTTATACTGAGGATGTAGCAATCATCTACACACTGTCTAAAGTTTAAAGCACTGTGTGCTTGTGAAAGAAATAATCTTGGCTACGCTTAGTGTAAAAGTTTGTCATACTTGTCTTTCCTACTTTGGACCAGGCCTTTACCCCGATTAGCCACAACATTAAAATCATTTGTCTTGTTTTAATTCCCCCTCGTGCCACCAAAACAGCTCTGACCAGTCGGGCCATTGGTGTCCTCTGGTGGTGTCCTGTCGTGTCCAGAACCAGGACGTTGGCAGCGTATTCTTTAAGTTCTGTGAGTCGTGAGGTGAGGCCTCCATGGATCGGCCTTATACCAATGCGTCCTGTTGATGCTCGATCGATGGCTTTCTTGTTGTGTCCCATAGCTGGCTATGAGAAGTTTTTTGGAATGTGGCAGGTTGTATTGTCCTGCTGGGAGAGACCTCTGTCACTGGGGACTGCCATTGCCATCGGGGGTTGTGCTTGATCTGCAACAATGGTTTAGTGGGTGGTACGTGTCCAAGTCACATCCACATAAATGCCATGAACCGCAGCAGTATATTACACTGGAAGGAGATCCACCCATCCCTTTTCATCCCTATCCCTAACTATCCCAGTCGACTCAGGGCAAAGGCAGGGGACACCCTGGACAGGTTGCCAGTCTATCACAGGGCTACACTTAGAGACAAACAACCACATCCCCGTGACACTTGCAGACAATTTACAATTGCCAATTTGGGCTGTGGGAGGACTTGGAGAACCCGGAGAGAACCCGGGAAAACATGCAAACTGCAAACATGCAAACCACACACAAAGATCCAAGGCGTCCTAATCGGGACATGAACCGGGGATCTTCTTGCTAGGTGACGGTGCTAACCACCAACCCACCATGCAGCCCTAGATTTGAATGTTGTGGCTGACTTATGTAAATGTCAACTGTATCTATACCTAAATAAATCTATGAATGTGGAGTGCAAAGTTTGCTAGAGATATTTGAAGCCATTAAAATAAACAGTGAATTTTAATGTTTGGTTTAAGTAAATGAGGTGTAATCATAGAAACATTTTGGATACAGGTACCTTTGACCATGTATTCTGTTCAGTTTACCATTTAGGAGGTTAGGAATAACAAAAAATGAAATGTGAAAAATGCTGTAAATAAATACAGTGTTCTCAAAGGATGAATCCAAACAAGTTTATTCAGTATTTTGGTTTATGGAAATACCTACAAAACTGATATTCCTGTTGACATTATCCGTACTTTGGGTGCTAATTAGTTAATGTTGCATGTGTTGGCAGTCAACAATGGAGAGATATCTTCCACATTCAGTCCAAGTTCAGGAGAGAATATTGCAATACAGATTATCTCTTTTTTATCAACATACACAAGTACAATCTATTTTCATTCATTTGATGTGATTATTCACACAGAATAAGTAGGTATTTAGGAAACCGTCATTAGAACCCAACATTGTGTTTTGTTATTTCACTGCTATATTCACAAGAATGTGTCAATACCAACTCCATTTATTATCAATGTCTGCTTATCTTCCAACATATGACAATGAAATGTCCCACATATGCAAAACCGTCACAGCACCTTAAGCTGTCTCATTCAAATAAAACGAGAAATTGTGTTCTTATTTAGCTTATTGCAGGTTGACATGCTTTGGGTGCAAGTAGTAATTGGGATCGGAAACAATGGTATTGTGGAAAACATGATAAAAGTCTTATTTCAAAATGAACTCATCTTCATTTATTAACATGATCACACTGTTGATGAGTGGGATTTTTATTCAGTCTCCTTCCTTCTTGTTGATTGTCTCCTGTAACATAAATAAACCTGAGTTAGTCATTGGATTACTTTAACGAAGGAAAACATTTTTATTTTTTTTCCGCCATAGGGAAATAATGAAATTATTCAGGAAGACATTATGTAAACTATGGACTGTGCAGAAATTGTACCTTTGTGATACTAACTGGATTATTCTTTAGCAGTGATGTTCAGTGAGTGGCTAATCCTTTACTGTAGCTTTAATATTGAATTACATGTCAACACCAGCTCCTCTTCACCTTGGTTTCTCAATGTCTTCAATGACCTCTGGCAGCCGGGAGTTTAATGTTTCAGGCAGGAGTGAGGCCACTAAACCAGAGATGACTGCCACTGCACAGTAGATGGCTGCAGGGAGGAGATGCCACACGTCCTCCAATAGCATGATGAGCGGGGAAACGGACACGCCCAGCCGTGCTATGAACGAGGTGTAGCCTAAACCATTCTGACTGAAAAATGAAAGCGCTGAGGTTAATGAAGACCTGTCGGACAAACGGTCAAAACAAGATAAAAGGTCAATGTCTTCATTTGAAATGGTTACATGACTTTGTTGTTGACTGACCGTACGACTGTAGGATAGAGTTCAGTAGTGAAGAGGTAAATGATTGTGAATGAGGCCTCTGACATGGATTTTCCAAGAACTGCAACGACGGTACGAATTACCCACTTGTCTGAGGAAACAAGTGTAAAACGTTGACCAAGACGACCCATGTTTAAAGCAAAAACACTGAAAAGAATCAAATGATTTCATGAAATGCAAATTGACCTCTTGAAACAAACATGTTGATGAAGAGAAAAAGACCGGCTCCCAGCAGGGCTGTCATCTGGCTAAACCTTCTACCAATTTTCTCCAGTAAGAAATACACACCGATCTTCATCGGCATTTCAATGGATGCAAATATAAATTGTGTGAGGTATGGGTTTAGTCCAAACCCGGAGATGTTCAGACTTATCCCATAATATGTAAATGCAACTCCATACCTGGAAAATGAAAAACAAATTCAAACTTTCTCAATACACTCAAATTAAAACCTTAGAGTTGTTCGTCCAAGTTTAAACATTTAATATGGGAACTGATCATAGATTACTTACTGAAGGCTCTTTTAGTTTCATCTATCATTTTTTCAGAGATAAATAGAATATCACATTACGTGATTGATTTTTGTGCTCTATATTGGAAATATATTGCTAATGTCACTGTTTAACATGTTATATCTGATTTGTGTAATTCAACGAGGGACATGACAGCAAAATGGAAGGCATACTTTTGAACCCTGGACAGAAAATTTTCAGTCTTTTTGCCACAGGGGTATGAATTTTTTCATCAAAAATAAGAAAGCATGTTTCCTTAAACAGTTGATCTCTGTCCCATGTCCCATTAAATTGACACTTACCACACTATACCTGAGCATATAGCAATTTTTCTAATATCTGGGGTCCTGAAAAGATCTAAAATAGTGTACTTCTTATTTTCACTCTCAGTTTCTGTAGACTCCAACAGTGTCTGCAAGAAAGCCGGACAAACACAGTCACACTGACAGCTTACTTTTTTCTTATTTACAGTAAGATTGTCAGTGAACCAAAGCAAAAACATTGCTGCGATGTACCATTGGTGTGATGTTGGCCATGCACTTGGATGTGTTGTTCATCTCAGCACATTTCATAATGTAATGATGAGCAGCGTCTGCTTTCCCATTTGCTGCGAGCCACCTTGCAGACTCCGGTAACCACCTAAGATGACAAATAAGGTGAATTCGGCATCTCATCAACACCTGGTGAGATTCAGCTTTTTATGTTGCAGAGTCAAAATATCAACTTCAATACCTCCAAGCAATAGTGGCCAGAATTAGGGGAGAGCTCACCGCCAGAATGAGCATCCTCCACTCATTCACACAGTATGCCAGTCCAACCATAAGCCAGTTCCCAAGTGTCCAATCCAGGCTTATGATTACACCAGAGAAAGTCCTGTGATCAATGCTAAACCATTCAATATCTGCAGAAACATAAGCATGGATGAAAAGTTAGATATATTTCTTGGAATTAACACAGAATGCCCATTTTTATACCAACACTTAAAAAAAAAAATCTCAAAGCTTAGCATTGTTTTTAGCATTAACCTCCTTACTTAAAACAATAGAGATGATACTTATCCCTGCGAGTGACATCCCCGTAAAAAATCTCATGATGACAAACATTACATACGATGTGGAGAATGCACTCAGCACTGCAAACATCAAAGACAATAAATAAGATGCCAGCAAAAGCGGCCGTCGCCCAAATCTGAAAGTGAAAAGAATAAAGAATATGCTAAAAGGAATGATTTTGCTGAGAACTTTGGGTTAAATATATCACATGTATATCCATCATTCACACGATAGAACATCACTGTCTGTTAATCAATGTGCATGTGAGTTTTTTGTTTTTTTGCAGGCTGTTGATGTTTTGTATTTGAATTAAAATATATTATTAATTTTTTTGGAGATAGAAGGACATTTTGGACACACAGCACACGTACTGTATTTTTTCATTACCAAGATTACCTGTCACTGAGAAACCCAAATACAGGGGCTCCAGTCATCACACCAATGAAAAAAATGGTGGCTGTTGCCTTGTTCATCCCTTTTCTACTGCACACAAGATCCCACTGCAAAGACAGTTTTACAGTATGTATTTAACAGTGGCTCACGGTGGAAGTTGAGCACATGGAAGTTTCATTTATGAGTTCAAAATCATGTTTCTCAATTCTGCATGCATAATATTTACAGTGATTAGTCACAGCTTCAGCCACAAAAAAAGGCCAAGCCATATCTGCTTACAATCTTGCTTTTTCTTTGACCAGTTCAAATTACTTTTCTAATAATGTCTATGTAGAGACCTAACATACTTACTGAATGGCACTTACCTCTGTTGCCAAAGTAGACTTAAAGGTGCTGTTGTCATACACCCACCCATTCTGACACTTTACGGGAGATGTGGCCTCAGTGCTGTTTGAGTCTGACAGATATTGATACTGGGGCTTTGAAAACATGTGACACGAGCTCGGAGTCCCGTCCTGCTCAGCTGGTATACCAACAGCCAGTTTCTGGGGTAAAGTTAAATTTCCAAAAATGGCTCCATCCTCCAGAGCACTGATATTGCAGTGGTGAGAGGGAACAGCAGCCATGAAGTTGTTCAGCAGGAAGTGACACGGCAGAGTCATCCGAGAGATCATCTGAATCAAGACTAGCTTGATTTGGAATTTTCCAAATCCATTGATTTCTGAAAGTATGCTGTCAAATTTCATTTTGCCGTCCTTCCCAAGTCAATGGGAGGCTGAATGCTGTAGCAGTGAAGCCAAGTAAGCTCACACCAGCTGAACAAGATACATTTACTAGCACAATGTTAATCATTACAATTACCTGGACAAATGTGTTTTCAGTGTTTAATTCAAACTGACACAAAGCACGTAGAAAATTAGTCAGAGGGCCGTGGTGATAAATCATTATCTTTCAGCATAACAGTGGGGATGACAAAAAAAATGGAAACCAGTTCCTTCAAGTAGGAAAGTACCAAAGGTTCAGAATGGCAGTTTAATATAAGCAGAAGATATGTTTTTTTGTTTTGTTTTGTTTTTTTAATAAGAAATAAACAATTGTAAAGATGCAAATACAGATTATGAGCTTGCTGATTTCAGTTCTCAATGTGTAACGTTGCATATTGTCATTTTGAAGATCTCTAACTCTGATTTACAATCAAACTCATCCTGAGGAGAAGAGATCAGCTCAATTACAGTGCAAATGTCATATCTCGCTAAAAGAGAAAACATTTTTTAAATTGCATTTTCAAGAAATTTGAAATTATCTTCCATGTTCAGCACAGCGTTAAAACAGCTCTAATGACTGTCCTGACACTGGACACGAAGAATTAGGTTTAGTCCAGCATATGTGGGGAAAGATCCATCCATCCATTACCTATACACCGGTTAATCCTCTGTGGGTTCGCTGGGAGGCTGGAGCCTATCCCAGCTGACTTAGGCTGAAGGAAGGGTATGTCCTGGACAGGTCACCAGGGCCACACAGAGAAACAGACAACCAAGCACACTCACATTCACACCTACAGACAACTACAATCACCAGTTTGGGGTAAAGAACAGTTATCAAAACTAAGCAATGCTAATGACACTGATCATTTCTCACTAAAAATGCATGTAGCATTTCATAAGAAGTCATGCAACCATTAAAGATAGAAGCATTTATCCCCCTTATGAGTTTCGATTGCTAAGGACATATGCATAAACATGAAAGTTTTGCTGCATCTTTAAACCACGACTACTTTGCTTAATATATATATATATATATATACTCTGTTGAAGTAAAAACAATAAGATGTGCTGTGAATTTAAATAAAAACCAAACTGCAGTTGAGAAGTGTGACTTAGATCCATTTACGGGCATTCTGTCAAAGAGAACAGCAGCCTTACCTCATCTCTTTACTGTACAACTGCTTTATAACATGTGACTTTACCCTGAATTTTATCAACCCTGTTTCACTCCTGATTTGACAGCAATGAGCAAGTGACTATTAATTAAACTTGTAGGTCGAGCGGTTAAGAAACTGCATACACTGTATCTGTGTTGATTCGATATCAGGCAGACTATTATTACTATCATTGTTGTGTTTTTAATATTCCTCTCTGTGGATAACTACTTATTATTTTAATTATTGAAATCCGGACATCTGTGCTGAGCTAAAGCAACATTTCAAATGACTAAAAATATCCTCAGAGTGCTCTAAGGACATGTCCATTATGTCAACCTGCTGCTGCTGCTGCATGATGCTAAGTGAGCTGTGTCTGAGGGGCGGTGGGCGTAGAAACACCTCTTCTTTTCTCTCCTTAAATACAGTAGCATACATGAATGACCAGGGCTACACTATGAGCAGCTGGTAGGTAACATCAGCATCTGGCATCCATAACTGAAACTTTTACTCATGCTCATGTAGTGAAGCAAGGAGGATGTGAAGTGGACAGCGCTGCTTTTCAACTGATGAGACTTTTTTGGGCCAACTGTTTGTCTTTAACAGTTACACCAGGGATGAATACTGTAAGTAGTGGATGTTTCCTTGAACTTCCTAAAGCCTTTCAATAACTGTTCTCCCATACAGGTTTATTCTAGTTGTATTTCATCATTCCTTAACTGCTGTCTTTGTTTCCTGTTGTTGGCTTTAATGGACACTTTAAATAGAAAAATGGTTTATATTTAGCATCGTGTCAGTAACATTATCATCGAGTGTTTTAATGTTTTAATTTGACTGAAACTCTGGTTCTCTTCTGCTCAATAAACTATTAAAGAGTAGGCCACAGGTTTTTAAACGCTGCTGCACCAGTTCAAATTAAACTAAAAATATTACTAATAATATTTTGTATCAAGCAAAAATAGCTGGGTGTGAGTGAGTTGATGATGGTCTCAGCTGTTTATTCAGTTGATTTCGGTCTGTTGGGGAAAGCAGTAAAAAAGTACTTAAGGAAACATTTGAGTGTTTCTCGTTAGTGTTAAACAGACAGTCTAATTATATAATAACATGGAAACATCTAATCCGCTGGAGCTCAGTCCTCGGGGTCACCTCCCAGACCAGGAGGTCACTCATTTGTCAAGGATGCTGGCTCCCCGTTTCCGTGGCAACGAGTCAACACACTACAGCTACTGCCATACTAGGAAAGAGAAACTCCTGCAGCACCAAAATTAGATCAGGTGATGGTGAGATGTTAAAACGAAGTGGAACCAAGTGTGAAGAGGAGACTGGCATTGGACAGTGTTCGTTCAAAACATGGCAAGTGTTCAAGAGGCCTTATGGTTTAACAGTCTCACAGCTGTGTGTGGGCTTTTGTGTAGCACATTTTCAAAGGCTTAAACAACCTTAAGTCCAGTGATGTCGTAATATATAATCCCATGCCAAATGCTGCAATTTAAAAGTGTCTGCATGTACCAGTACTTGCGTGTGCAGTGATGCATAGAACTTGCTTTCTGTTTTGATTCTCCTAATGGAGTTGAGCAACAACCACAAGATGTTACTTTTTGTTTAAATCTATGAAAATAGTGAATGATGTCTATGACAACCAGATGTGACTTCTGCTCAAATTACCCCTCCAGCTCAATCTGTGGTGCAAAGTAGGTGCGGTACAGGAAGATGAGTCAATTGCAGACAAAAACATGACCAGCCAGTATAGTAGATGTATATGTTTAATAGTTATTGCAAAAATCTAATTAGTGAGTCCATATATATATTACATTGAGTACATATCAAATGCATGCTTTAGTATAGGTACATATTCCAACTTATATACTGTGTTTAAGTGTGAAGTAAAGTAAATACTCATGTTTCTGCAGAAATATTATATGAATGTTTGCAGTAGCAGTAGGAACCAAAGATGCGTGATATCAGGCAATGAGGTCATCTGTCCTTGTGTCCAACTACTGGCACATTTTACTCCTCTGCTGCTATCAAGTAAAAGCATTAATTTGTACACAAGGAATATCGTAATCTAAAAAGGAGGTTGACATCAAAGTTACAAAGTACAATCATTCTGGTCACTCCATCAGGTTTTCTTTAGCACCATCCTCAGGCCAAAATGGCAAAATAATCTCACAAGCAGTTTGATTTGAAATGTAGTCCTCCATCTTTTTGATTTCAATGACCAAATTTCTCTCTGATTGGAAATCATCATGTTGGTCTGTCCAAGTGCTATGTTTTGTAAGATGCACATGATAGACAGTGGCGTACATTGTTGCTTTAAAAAAAAAAAAAAAGTAAAAGTAAAAGTAATCCCAGTAATCCCCTTGTGTTTTTAGAAATGCATCAGCAGATTTGTCAGCTTTGTGATAAAATTGAAAAAGACAATTAAAAAGACGAAAATATTGATTGATTCGTTGATTCTTTTTACTGTGAAGTATCATCTTTTTTTCTGATTCCTTAGAAAATTGTCCTATCTTTTAGGTCTAAAAGAGGCATATATTTGAATCTAGCAGCATAGGAAAAATGTTCTACAATTTTTAGGCTTTAGCAAAAATTAAATGAAAATGTGTTAACAGGAAAGAGTCCCCAAAACGGATAGCTCACCGACTAGAGGCTTTTAATGAATCACTTATGAGGTAACCTTCATTCTGACATTTTTTGTGTACGTTTAGAAATTGCGTAAATGCTACTGAGAATTTACTGTAGAGTGTAAAACTACAAATGTAGAGTTTCTAAACCACACAATGTAATTTTTAAAATCAGGTGTAGATCAAAAGTTGGATTTACTGAAGCACACTGATCTTGTGTCGCAGTGTTTTGGCACCACCTTCTGGTTTATGTCACAAAGTGAGGAGTTTGAAAATGTAAGACTTGTATTCTCAGTAAAACTACATTTCGTTCACTGCTGCTTTGGAAACAGCAGATGACTTTTTCCTTGTCAGAACCCAGATCAGACAGTCATTCTCTAACCGCTAAGATAAAATAACTTGAAAAGAAATCTGAGACCATAGTTCAGTAGGATTTTTGATAGAAATAACTGTTGACACATTTTAAAAGAAAAAAACAAACGTTCACTTTAGGTGGGGAGAAGAAGGATTTCAACTGTGTATAAAACAAATAGTATTTCAGATTTAGTTCTTAAATGGAAATGCTAACTTCTATTGCCATGCTGATAGCTGCTGCAGTGACAGATGAGACTGGTGGAGGGAAAGAAACCTCGCTGTATAAACAGAAGATCGGAAAACAGCCACCCAATTGTTTTGCTTATGCTGTTGGATGTGAATGCTGTTTCCCCCATGATATTAAATACCATTCCATTTACAGCAATGGCAGCCCTGAAGAAACTGCCAAAGCAAAGCTGCACATCCTATTGGGGATAGGAATCATTTAGGGAATTACATGGTCGTCAACAATGTTACAAAGGTCACCAAAGGCTGAAATCTTTTGATCTGAATAGAAAACAAAGATAAAAAATGAGCTACAGTCATAACTGGTAGAACATTATACAAGACCATTCATGTGTTCACTTTGGTAAATCATTGAATGTAGTGTACAATAGCATGAGTGCACTCTGTGGAAATTACTTACAGGAAGATGGCATGTTTTGACGGACAACATATATTATTGAAAGTCTGGCAAAGTGTTATCTGCATTTGAAGGAAAAAGGATTTCTTGGCTTTAAGTTGTTTGTCCCTGTCTTGATGAAGGTATCTTCAGTGAGACCCAGGAGGTTGTGAAACATCACTAAAGATGGAACCAGAAACTGAAGATCTAGACAACAATGATAACTTGCCCCCCTGGTCAGGCTCAGAAGGTTCCCAGGAACTTTGTGTCTCTGAGTCCTTGGCAGAGTCCTACAACGAAGATGACGTCAGTGAAGCAGAGTACCCCTTAGACCCACAGACTGCCCATACTCCTAAATCTGGCCTCGAGTCTCCAGAACGCATCCAGGAAGACTGGGAATCTGCAGGTGAGCAACAGCCTGAACTCAGTGGAAGTGAAGAGGAAGTGTCATACCAAGAAGAGGATGACATCTACCTTAGTGAATCAAGAGAGTCCATTACAGAGTCACCTCACATCCAAACCTCACAGACATTATTGTCCCTGCACTCAGAGCGCCAAGACTCTGAGCCTCACGCTGGACGCCGATCACGGCCGCATTCCCGGTCTTCTTCATCCTCTCTTGGCTGTGCCGCGGATATGACCCTGGCCTTGACCCTGACTACAGAACAACCCCAGGGAGCCAGTAATAGGCAGGGCTCAGGGACTGGGAACAGGAGGGCTGAATCTTCAGAGGAAGGAGGGAGTAGTGAAGCACCTCCTGCTTCTGTCTTCTTTGGAATTTCAGACGAGGCTGCTGAGCAGGCAGAGAAGTGGAACTCGGAGTCTGACACAGATCTGTGCAGACCGGACAGGCACAGGGCAAGGTACACACGTAAGTATCTACCTACTACCCTGATCATATATTTCAGTGAATCTAGAAGTGCAAACTGCACACCATAGAGTGAATGCTTTTTTTTTCCTAAATTTTTGATAGCATGTGATTTTTGAATATATAAGATATAATTTAAAGCTTGCTTTTAAATGTAGCCATTGAGGCACAAATTAACTTCAGGTAATGAGTTTTAAAGCTATTTTTTGTCTGTATTACTAATACATGTAATGTGAAGTGAACGGGTTGTTTTAACTGATGAATAACTTGTACAAAGCACTGTGGGTGCTGCTATTTTCATGCTGCAACATGGGGTCTATTTGGAGTGGACTTACAGGGAGAATTCCCATGGCTTTAATAGTCAGACCAGGATAAGAATAAAATATGACCATATGATGAGGCTGGCAGAGACAAATTTGACAGACACCAGCATGTGTCACCCTGGCCTGTCACCCGATCCCTTTTCCAATCGTAAGACTGCAATGGAAAAGTGAGCTCCTCACTTTTCTTGCCTTATGGACCCCCCCTAGGTTAGCTGTAAGCGAATATGATGCTTTTATTAGTGTGCTTGCTTCAGCAGGGGGATCTTGAAATTTCTCCTACATGTCAAGCTTACTTCAAATTATAATATTAGTACTAATGGCTCTATGGGTTATTTTATTTAACTGTGGTGTGATCAGTTAAATGCTGAGTAAGATTTTAAAAACCCAAGTAAAATGTTTGCTTATAGCTGAAGCACATATTTCTATGATTCATTCTCACCCCCTCCCTCCTCTCTTTCTCATTCTGTCTCTCCCTCTGCTTCTTCCTTTGTCACAGGGCTCAGTCACAGCGAGAGCCAATCAGAGAGACACGTCAAGGAAACCAAGTCTAAATGTAAACGAATTGCCCGCCTTCTAACTGATGCACCCAACCCTCAAAATAAGGGAGCCTTGCTGTTTAAAAAACGTCGCCAGAGGGTGAAGAAGTTTACACTTGTGAGTTACGGAACCGGTAATAACAAGCTTGACAGTGAAGACCAAATACAGGAGGAAACCGAAGAAGTCAGATGTGCTGGGTATAACTTTGAGGCTACAAGTGATTCTGAGTTAGAAGAGCAGTTTTCTCTTTATCACCAGCAGCATAATTTAAGCCTGAATTGGGGAAGTGTTCGAGAAATGGAAGCACTACCAGAGACAAAAGGGAAGGGAGTTTTGATGTTTGCCCAACGGCGCAAACGGATGGATGAAATTGTATCAGAGCATGAAGACCTGAGGGACAAAGGACTACCTGTTGAAGCATTAACAGGACCTGAATGTACAGAAACACAGCATATTTATGACACTGAGGAAATGTACATACATGGTGATCAGGCCAATTACATGGACGTAAATCTCAAGCAGCATGTAGAATACCAAGAAAATATTCAACAGATGAACCACCTATCCAACGTGCCGAAACCTCTGGTGCCAAACAGAACTGCAAAGCCTTTCCTGGGATTTCAAAAGAGTCCAACTGCTCCTGTCATGACTGGCAGCATTGTTCCAGCTACAAAGAAGCCTGACCAGAGATTCAAAGTACCTGTGCCTATTAACACTAACCCACAGGTTTGGTCTCCGACTGGAGACATCATAGCCTCAAGAGATGAGCGAATATCTGTGCCAGCCATCAAGACAGGCATCCTACCAGAGTCCAAACGGAAAGCTACTAATAAACAGTCAGCAATGTCGGCGCAACAATCAGATCTTCTCATTCAAAACAAAGGGGAAAGGAGGTCTTATATTGAGTCGGAGGAAGACTTTTTTAGTCTTGGTGCTGAAGCTTGTAACTTCATGCAACCCAGAACAATAAAACTCAAGAATCCACCTCCAGTTGCCCCAAAACCTGCCATCAACCCAACCTGCCCACCTTGGATGAGGAGGAGTCCCTCCAGCGAGCCCTATATTCCTCCAAGAAGTCCGATTTCACAACCTTCTCACAGTCCTGGGGGGCCTCATAGCCAGCATTACTTGCAGCAGCAAGATTGGGCTCAGTCTCAACAGATGGCCAACCGTTGGGCACCCGATCAAACTCAGGCAACACTTCAAACACCTGCCAATGCCTGGACTCCGGTCAACTCCTCTTCTCAGCTTCATCCTCAGCCAACCACAAATAGCTGGAGTCAACAGACGTCACGATCCCCTGTGAGTATGCAGGCCCGCAGTCCTACTTACAGCCCAAACTACCCACCTTCACCCTCAAGGAATAAGTCAGACAGTGTTCCAAACTCAGTTGCCTCTTACCCACAACAAGCATCGAAAGCACCACAGGTTTCTCCAAAGGGTCGAGGTTCAGGCAGAGCTGCTAATCGGGCTGGTGATGGTTCCACCATGGCAGGAAAAGGTGCAGAATTGTTTGCCAAAAGACAGTCCCGCATGGAGAAGTTTGTTGTCGATGCTGAAACAGTGCAAGCTAACAAACCAAGATCCCCATCCCCGACTTCGTCCCTCCCTAACTCTTGGAGATATTCATCCAATATTCGTGCCCCACCTCCATTAGCATACAATCCCCTTCTTGCTCCTTTCTACCCCCCATCAGCTGCCAAGCAAGCCCCCTCCACAAGCCCCAAAATCAAGACCAAAGAGAAACCTAAATCCGCCCCCAAGCACCTCAACACCTTAGATATTATGAAACATCAGCCTTATCAGTTGGACTCGTCACTGTTTAAGTATGATGCAACCCCTGAGGCCAAAAGCCCCAGCCCCAAACCTACTCCAGCATCAAAGTTTGAGATTACCAAAAGTCGTAAACATAGATCCGTCTCCTCTCTTTCTCCTTATAATACCTCTGAGCCTTCTGTTCAAAGCAATGCAGAGGCCCCTGCTAAGTCTCCTGGATCGGTAAGTCCCCAACATTCTTCTGCCCAAAACACGAGATCAGCTGAGCCTCTTGCAACTGACAAGCGCTTGGATGAAAAGCACACTGTCGCTCCTGCAGCCCATCACATAGCCGGCAAGCAAGCACCAAGCGCCCGAACCGCAAGCAAGAAGTCATCTATTGGTGACAGCATAGCTTCAGCTTTCTCTCCTGCATCTCTTATTGCTAGAGGCGCACGTCAAATGGCTCCTCGGCCCAAATTTTCTGCTAAGAAGCCAGAGGCAATGGGAAAACAGTGGAAGCCTGTTGCTATGAGTCATTAGTTCTAATACTGTACATGGTCATGTTTTGGTGTAGTCTGAAACGATAATTACATAATTACATCTTCAACTTGGTAGCATCTAAAAATGTCTTAACAGGTGGAAATATATAGACTTTTGCACTAAATGTAGGCCTCATTCAAAATTAACAACAGTATGCAGCTATAAAGGTAAATTTAGCTGACAGCGTTATGAGGAAAACAGTTGAATGCACAGCAAAGCTATTTTGAGAAATTGTGATAAATCAATAGAATTTAAACGAAACTAAGCAACTAACTTAGCACAATAATTCATCTCCGTAAAACTCAGGAGGTGCATGTGGACTTAAGAAAGGAAAAGTGAGACAAAATAATGTGTGATTCTCAGGAAGTGCTATTATATGTGCAATATTGTGTACAGAGAGGCTTGTTCAACTAGTCTTCTCTAGTCTTTAGTTTTTTTTTCTTTAGTAAGGAATAAGATTACATTTTTATGTAGCAGTAGTAACCAATGAACCCCCAAACAGCACAAACGAATCACATTTATCGATACATTTATTTAATACATTCAAATTCTTCATGATTCTGTTCTTTGGAATAAAAAATAGTAATTTGCACAATCACAGAATATTTCTAATCATTTAGCGTGTTGGGGGAAAGACTGTCTACGCACTTCTTTTGAGTGCATACAATTTGCATTTCCTTCAGTCTCATTCCAGACTTTGATGGTATCACAACAGCTAAAAGTATTAATGTCGGTTGTGATCATTAACCCTAATGATTTTAAAATGTTTGTGTTTTTTTTTTATTTTTTATGTGGATATATTGTCTGCAACCATCAGTTATGGCCAGTTATTCAACTCTCAGTAAAGTCATCAGACATCTGTATCCTAATCCTTGATGAGCAAAATATCACAGAGATTTGAATGTTCTGTTACTGGTTCAGCAACTCCAAGTGAATGTGAGAAAACCACTGTCTCTTCTGTCTTGATGTCTTTGTCTTTCTGACATATCACTGTTTGCACTTCTTGTTCTCAGCACAATCATGCTATTAAATTTCTCTTTCCTCCTACTTGTGTACTTCTTATGTGTGTCTTGAGGTTTGATTAACTTTTCCTGAACAGCTACTTCTCTCATTTCCTCCTTTATCTTTCTCACTGCCTCACACTTTCGCACAGAAATTGTTCATATTTGCTTTGCCTTCAGCAATTAGGACTTCATTTTTCAAATTTGACTGTGTGGGTGTTTGTTTTCTCTTCAGCTGTATTTCTGAAAGGGAACAGTTTGGAACTATGGTCTTGGCCCTCAAAGACTTTTGTGCGCACTTCTGTTGGAAGGTGCTGATACTGTATTCAAATGCATCCTAAAGCAGGACGTTCATATTGTTATTCTTGTAATTTGTTGACAGCAAGTCAGAATCTTCTATCATAGTAAACATCAATTTTAGAGATTCTTTTTTTTTTTTACCTGATTACATCTAAAAACAGGCCAGATTCTTCTTAAGTTGTAAGTATTTATAATTGTTCTTAATGCAGAACATCAGCAATAGCACACATATGGCTAGTACAACTAGAAAACATGCAACCATATACTCACTATATTAGAACAAATATTCAAATATACAGCAATCTCAAAAAATGTTCTTGCTTATTTTATGTTCCCTTGTTTCTATTCAGATCCTACCCAAGTTATTTTACTTCTTTGCTGATTATTGGTATTTATGGCCATGTGAAGATTTGATTGACATCAGCTTCTTAAGTTCAATCAATCAATCAGTTTTTTTTTTTTTTTTAAAGAAGCAGAATCACCATGTGGAGAAGTCCCAGTACACTCTACAGTTAAACAGAACAAGGCTCACTTTGTTGTATCTGCCAGTGTTGGACGAGCACTTTACTGGTCACATTCCAACACATAATTTCCAGCATTGCTCTGTCTGCCTTTAGCTTGAGCAGAGAAACTAAACAGCAATAAAAACACAGTTGCAGTGACGGTGTCCGTGGCCTTTACAAAGTCACCCTCAACAGAAATGCTTGTTCAAAGTCCAATGCCAATTCTATTTTAGGCTGATTTTTCCCTGTTACAGAGAGAAAACAAAGTTGGCAGAGAAATAGTTCCAAGCAAAGTCTCATCATCTTTTAAATGCCATTATGCTTATTTTAAGGTACCCAGCAGCAGGTAAGTTGTGAAATCTTTATTAACTTCTACTGTTTTTTTAATGCTACAAATGTTGATTCACAACCCTTATACATTGACTGTTAGCCATATATTTATTTCATTTAGACATTTTAACAGGATCTAAAGGAAAAGCTTCATAATGGTCTATAAACCTAAAATTGTGAAAGTTGTTTTTAGACAAACATTTCTAAAAAGCCACAAATGTCATACAACGAAAAGTAATAGAGACTTTTAAGACGAAAAAAATCATTTTACATGCAAAGTGTGACACAGTGTAAAAAAAAATGTTTCTTTTACACTGTGTCTCCTCTGTTGCACATGAATTATTGTGATTTATTTCATCATGCACTTATTTCACGAAAACTTCAAACTTAATTTCAAAATAAAACATGAATAAACTATGAAGCCAGATGGGGGCAGCAAAGTCTGTCACACTCCTCTAACATCAGTCAACAAATACTGTACATGCTTTTCTTCCAGGGATTTGGTAGGAGCCGCTCCTTGAGCCTCCCCCACCGATTGAATTCAATGCCTCCTGGACTCCTGTCGCCCGTGAGCCCGTCGGGAATCCAGCCACCTTTCTTACCTACACAGAGGCGAACATCCTTCCAAGAGAAAGTCTACAAGCCACCGTCACCGTGGGAGGCGGCGTCGAGAAGCCCCATTGGTGCAGTGGATGAGGCCTTTCTGTTTCAGAGCCTCCCATCATCTGTTGCTTCTAATGTCAAAGCTGCAGGGCACCGCAGATCTCTGCCAGAGCCTCCAGATGAATGGAAGCGCAGGGTGTCTCTTGATCCTGCAGCTGTCAGCAAGAGTCATTATCATCACACAGCTCCAGCTTTTCAGGCCCCGTCCATGAGCAGGACATTTTCACCTGAGAAACCAGCCTTCTATGGGCCTCCCTTCAGACCTGCTCAGCCTCTCAGGCCTGCCAACAGGGCCAGCATTGGATTCATGGCACAAGGCTGCAGTCCAACAAAGTATTCTCCCTTGTATAGTGCAGTCCAGCGAAGTTAATTCCAGAGATGAAGTCACACACACATCAGATGAAGAGAAATATATATTTATATTAATTTTTATGGTATATGCTGTAGATGATCATGGAAAATATCAAACATGAAAGGCAAAAAAGTAAATTTGGCTCAAGGAGATGGAATATATTCACTCTATGGTGATGAAAAACATGACTGTTTTTGACATGTGTTGGTTAAAGAGTTGGGCACATTTTAGACAATTTATGATGTGTGTTTTGAATTTATGATAGGAGTGATGTTCGTGATATGGAGTGGTCACTTGGTTTGAGGAACGGGACAACTTCATGTAACTATTGTTGTGAGACGTTTTGTCTGCTTTCATGGGAGGGTTTACAATGATGTCTAAATAAGGACAAAACCAGACCAGCGCAGTGACGATTTAAGGCCGACTGTAATTAGCACGTGTTACGTCAGTTAAAGTGAACGTGTTGCAAGATGAAAGAAATGTAAATTGAGGAGTGGTGTTGCTCACTGAAAAATGCTGTTAATTTTAACATAGATAGTTGATAAATGATGACAGATGCATCACTTTGGTTCACATATTTATCTCTGTTTCTTACAAATGATTGTGACTTTATGCTGGTTGATGTTAAGTCTTTCACAGTAAACAGTTCAGGCAGTGATAACCATTACAGATTTCCTTCATTCTGTATTAATGTGTCTTTTTCTCATTACTTATGAACAAGGACACTTAGAAAAAAAATTATCTGTAGTGCTTTTTTTTTTTGACTTCCTCTTACAAAGTACTATTTCTGCTCTGTGTGACACTGGGTCTTTTCAGAAAATTAGCAAACTTGCAGTGAGTGTTACATCTTTACAGTGACTTTATTCCAACTACTATTCTATATGAACGTCAGCTTTTTTGCCATTATAATGAAGTTCTAAATTAAGAGAGGAATTAATATCGCATGCACGCATTCATGAAGTATCCCACCTTTGATGAAGCACTGTGTGGTGTTAAAGTATAAACAGTCTCAGTTTTTGCCTTCCATTTGACTTGCGTATGTTTCCAACCAAAAAAAGGGGGGGGGTTCTTACCCTCTACATTTGTCTTGGTTATGTGTTTTTTTTTTTTTTTTTTTTTTTTGTGTGAGTTAACTACAGT